CTGGGTCTCCATGTATTACAAAGAACCTCTTGTGCCTCAGTGTTCGGTTGGAAGTGATTTGCATGTGTCCCTAATTATTTCCCGGCTGTGTTTCTGTCTGCTCCAGCCGCACCTGTCTGGAAAACCCAGGTAGAAAGCAAGGGGGACTGACAAGATCCACGTGCCTCAACAGGCTGTGAGTGTGTGAGTGAGCGACCATAAGCCGAACCTGGGAGCAGCGTGTGTAACACTGGTACCTTAACCATGTCACCAAACTGGTTCACTTTTGGAAGAAGTTAGCCCCTGAAAGCAAGGGGGACTGACAAGATCCACGTGCCTCAACAGGCTGTGAGTGTGTGAGTGAGCGACCATAAGCCGAACCTGGGAGCAGCGTGTGTAACACTGGTACCTTAACCATGTCACCAAACTGGTTCACTTTTGGAAGAAGTTAGCCCCTGCCTTTTTCCTAGGACTGGCTTAATGTCCCACCACTGACCTTGTGTCTAAGGCAGGACTAGAACTCACCATCTCCCGGTTTCTAGCCTGGTGCCTTTAACCACTGGCTCTCCCCCCCCCCTTTTCCTTAGCTTCCTCATAATCTCTCAAACCTGCCCCTGGTTCATGGGATCATTTGATTCCCAGGTTCTGATGGGTGCTTATCTGTAGTATTATTCTGTCAAGGTATCATAGGCAATACACCACCTGACCTACAGAATAATTGAGTTAAAAACTGAAACAGGGATAAATGCTTCCATTTCGGCCTTGACTTCATTTTAACTATCGGCTTACTCTCCCACATAACCCACTGTTGGCCTAAACAAAAGAATTTCTTACATGAATTCCAGAATTAGAACCTGTGCAATTTGCCACAGTCTGCACTTCCTCTGCACCTTTACTCTATGCGAAGAGTAATTATATTATCTTATCAGTATAATGCAATTATACCGATGCATAGAGGTGGCTCTAGAGATTCAGAGCAACATTACATAAAATAAATCTTACCCAGGCTGCTTTTATTCGGTTTTATCAGCACTCCCTTGAAAATTGGTAATGGAGAGAAGGCAAAAAATGTAAATTCGTTTCAGGGATGAAAAAGCTGACAGTAACTGCATGACGCTCTGTAAAGATTGAGATTCAAAACATTGGGGAAGTGGCAGAATTCAAAATCATCAGCTTCAGAAGGCACGGTCTTTTGGAATGCTAAAATCCAATATCTAGCTGCAAGGATAGACTTTTAGAAGGCCTTTGCAGAATCTGATATTCGGTAAAATGTCACCTTTATTAAAATCACACAAGCTGCTATTACAGTGGCATGATATTATTCAGCCTTTGTGTTTGTCTCACACTGACAGCACATACAATAGGGTGAATGAGTCATCTGAATATGCCTTCATTTGTGGACAGGGAACTGAATTAGAGGAAGAGTGAAACCCAATGCTATCACATCAGAGTTCATTGAATAATCAGAAAGGACTGGCCTTTGCCTTGCAAACAGAGCTACTCAGCTCAGGCATTGAAACTCGATTTCTGACACCTTGACAGAAGATAACTTATTTATTAATAAGCTTTAGCCTGAAAGATGGAGTCATGAAGAACAGGGAGGGATTCAAGGCTGATCTCCCTGAAGGAGTCACTTCTTTCTGCCTCACAGGAATTCCCTGGTGATGTGTAGGACAGACTTAATGTATCCTCATATGACCTTCTGCCAATGAAATCACAGTTCCTTCCACCACTGCTAAAGAAGAAATCCAGAACTGAGTCACCAAGAATGATTGGATTTCATCTATACAACTTCTGAAGTCCTTCAAGAAAAACAATTCAAGTGCAATGGAAAACCACTAATGTGAGAGAGAGATTTCAGGACTATCTAAAACCACCTTCTTCCTTTCAAGGCATCTTTTAAGCTACATATTGATACCTATTTTTCGGGAAATAAATTTAATGATGGACAGATCAGTATAAATTAGGGCAGTTTCAGTGTCCATGGGTGGAAGGTATTCTTGACCTCTGAGGCTTTTAGATTTTT